AAGGTGGAACAGCCCTTCAGAATATCCTGTTTCTCAGAAAAGGCTGTCAAATATTCTAGACCTGTAGACTGAAGACGGATACCTGAACATTGCAAAGGAATTTTGGGTGACTGTCCAGGCAGCCAGCTGTTTCTGTCATTTCTCACAATTTTTGGAAGTCACTTGCTTGCACTTCCTGTTTACTCAGTTAATATTATTTCGTTTGGGGGTCTCAGAAGTAGTTGAAGAATAGAGTTATAGTTTCCCTTGTTTACCAGATTCAGAATAGAAACTCACAAAGAGGTTTAAAGTATAAAATGTTGAGAGACATTAAAATGATAATTTGATAATGCAAATTAGAACAGAAAGGGCTGGAGAGATGGCTCAGTGGTTAAGAGCATTGCCTGCTCTTCCAAGGGTCCTGACTTTAATTCCCAGCAACCATCTGTAATGAGATCTGGTGCCCTCTTCTGGCCTGCAGGCATACATGCAGCAGAACACTGCATATATAATAAATAAATAAATCTTTAAAAGAAAAAAGAAAAAATTTGGAAAAGAAAGTGAATCAGGTACATTTTGGACTCATCAAGATATGATAGATATGAAGTATTTTCTCTGAATTTGTCAAATGCAAATAACTAGACATTGCTGATATACTTATTGCCTATGTATATTGTATATAGTTATTGTACTTATTGTATAGTTTTTCTAATATCGGTTATAGCCTTTTGTTATTTTAGACAAAAAGGGGGGAATGTAGTGATATTTTGTTTATGTTTTAATAAATAAAGCTTGCCTGAAGATCAGAGTGCAGAGTTAAGCCACTAGAGGCCAGGGAGTGGTGGCACATGCCACGCCTTTAATTCCAGGACTCAAGGACACCCTGGGATACAAAAACTTGAATCTTGTCTAAAACGAGAACTAGAATGCACACAAAGGTGATGCCAGCACTTGGGATCCAAGCACTAGTGAGGTGGAGGCAGGGTGCATAAGACTGGGCGGTGAGGATATAAGAGGAGGAAACAAGAGCTCGTTGGAGTCTGAGGTTTGGTGGAGACAGTCTGAGGATCGCCCTTTCGGTCTGAGCATTGGCAGAGGTAAAAGGTCTCTCTAGTGTCTGCCTGTTCCGCTTCTCTAATCTTCAGCTTTAGCCCCTTTCACCCCTATATCTGACTCTGTGTTTTGATTAATTAAGACCATCTAGACAGGTCTGTCACTGAAAACCCATTCACCAAAATGTTTCTCTTAGAAATTAGGATTACTTTCTTAGAGGATGAGAAGCCTAACAGTCTCCACTGATTTGGTTCATTCCTCTCAGTAGAGGCAAAAGACAAAAATCAAGAAGGGTGTAACTATCGGTACTTAAATTTATACTTTCAATGGTTGCCTTCTGCATGCAATTTTAAGGACTTTTTGTTTATGTTTCTGCTTTTTGAGACAGGGTCTCACTATATAGCACTGGCTGTCCTGTAACTCACTATGTAGATCAGGCTGGCTTTGAACCAGTGATCAACCTGACCCTGCTCCTGAGTGCTGGAATCAAGATGTGCACACAACACCCAGCCTGCATTTTTTTTTAAAGATTTATTTATAATATATACAGTGTTGTGCCTGCATTACGCCTGCACACCAGAAGAGGGCACCAGATCTCTTCTTTATATGTGAGTCACCATGTGGTTGCTGGGAATTGAATTCAGGACTTCTGGAACCTCTGAGCCATCTCCCCAGTGCCCCCAGTCTGCATTTTTAAGTACTTTTTAAGGTGCTCCATTTGTGAACTCAAACCACAAACACAAATAAATTTATTCCTGTAAGTACTGTGACAACCATAAAAAATAGTCAGTCCTAACATCTCTAAGTGTTAGGTGTTTCTTAGCTGGGCATTGTGATTCATGTCTAGAAAGAATCAGAGTTGGAGATTACGATGGCTACACAGCAAGACTTTGTCTTACAAAAAGTGTCTTCTCAGAAAAAAACAAATCTCAAAAGTTTAAAATATAATACAAACTATAAATCCATTTCTCTAAAATATGTAGCATCATTTACCAAAAATATTAGGAATATAAATGCCAGATATGTATTGAAGATAACTGGGTAACTTTTAATTCCTTTAATATCTAGTCACTTTATATTAATTTTTCAAAACTAAGCATATATTCTAATGGCACTCTTTAAGCTAAAAAAGTTGGTCTTTGCCAGATGTGGTGGCTGAAGCTTTTAATCCCAGCACTCAAGAAGCAGAGGCAGTAGGATCTCTGTGAGTTTAAAGACTGCCAGGTCTACATAGAGATTTCCTGGCCAGCTAGTGCTACATGTAAAATCCTGTCTCAAAAAAAGTAATCTTTGCATCATTTTATTAATTACTTTCATGAAACTTTTTGATAATAAACTATATTTTATCACCTTACAAACATTTCATGGAGTGTCCATGCTGACAAAGAGAAAATGGAGAAAGCCATTAGTGAAATGGCTTTTCTTTTGTTTACAAAAAAAAAAATTCAGAAAATTAAGGTAACATCTTAATTTTTTTTCCAAATAAATCTCTTATAGGATGATTCTGCCCTGAATACATAATGTACGTGTGCATGCACGCATTTCTACCTACCTGTGTGAATTCTCAAATAAAAGAAACGCTAACTTTCTTTTACTTACCTAAAAAAAATTGTAAATATGGACAAATTGATTTTTCAGATTTACTTTAGGAAAGCAACAAACAAACTTATTTAAAACATTAAAGTGCCTCACAAATAAATAAATCGGGACCCCTGCTGGGCAGTCCTTCGGTCACATGTACGTGTCACAGCAAAAATCAACTATCAGCAGTTCTATTTATCACGTGTCATCCTGGGAGAGTACAGCAGAAGTAAACCCTGTGACTCTCACAACAGAGGACAACCTGAGAAATAAAAAGTGTAAACTCAGAAATCAAAATCCACTTCTGGAAAATCAGTATCTCTACCTTTCCAGTGGGCTAAGAGTGTAATTCAGTAGTACAGTGTACTCACCCTGAGTTCAATCTCCAACACCAAAAGTGAATAAGTAAATAAATAACATACTGACTTTGACACTCTTCTCTTTCAGCTAAAATAATTATAAAAAGACAAATGCTAAGCTTTCACTTTTCTACTTTATCAATTCATGTACTTTTCCCTCTCTGTGGAAATTATAATCTAAAATAACAGACAAACCCCTTTTCCAGCCCCCGGTTTCTCATCTGAATGTACTAGACAACAGAACTAGCACGTCAGGGTTTTAGGTCTGGCCTTCCTACCCACAATCCACTGCAAGGTATAAATTAATTATTCTGGGCATGTCCCTAGGTATCCAATAGTGATTAGCTCTAGGACACCCCTCCACACACACACACACACACACACACACACACACTCCAACATCTTTGGATACTCAAGTCATTTACATAAAACTACATGATATTTACATGTTATCTATCATACACACTCCATTATCTGTAGATTACTTACAATGCCTAATAAAATGTAAATGCCATGTGAGTAATTGTTACACTGTATCACTTAGGGAATGACAAAAGGTCTGTTGGCATTTATACAGAGGGGATATTTTCAATTACCAGTTGATTGAATCTGCAATGTAAGGCCCTCCAACAGGTAGGGCTGACAGTATACTGTATAACTATGGAATTAATTCACTCACACATCAGCCTCTTGCACTACATTATAAATCCCTGAAGATTCTAGGAGTGTGATATCAACAGTTCTGGGCAAAAAGATTGGTAAAATTAAGCGATAAAAACCTTTTAACCATTCCTATACAGCTCTGTTAACAAAGCAACTGACACACAGATATTTATGAGGGTTTTGCTTTGAAATCAACCTTTAACCAAAGTCACAGTTTCTTCCTACTGAACATACACTTCCAACCACTTCTTTTCCATTATGTCCAATTCATTCTCCAACATAAATGTTTGCAACACAGTAATAGAGCTCAGTACATATATAATCAAATAAAATCTAAGAACATTATCTTTGAGTAGTCATGTGATCCTCAGAAAACTTAAGAACCTACAAATTAGAGCATTTTTAATATATAATTCATGCTAAGGGCTGAGAATGCTTCACCAGAGATGGGGGTAGCAACAAGAACATTAAAAACGGGAACTGTTCTAAACATCCTGCTTCCATTTCCACTTTAGCCAGAAATTTTAAATGGCAGTGAGAAAAAAAAAAATGGAGGCAGAATCTGTAATTCAGTATATGGCCTACGAAGAACAAGAGATACTGGATTTGCAAACCATGAGCTAATTTTTAAAGCGTTGTTTTAATCCATAAGATCTTTACATTTATCATGACCAGCTGGTTCTCATCTCACCAATGCCTTCTCCCCCACCTTCTCACCTTCCTACACACACACACACTATGAGTCCCGTGCCAAACCAATCATCATGGGGGGTGGGGGGACTAAACCATGTGGTTCATTTTCGTTATTGTGAAAAATAGTCATAGTTCTTTTCCCATAGGAAAATTACCGATTCTAACGGGGATTGGGGAGGAAAAGCAGCTCATTATCAGGCATTTTCCCATGCTCCACAGGGAGAAAAACGGCATTAACTTGTAATAAGCGACAGCCGTTCCACCGTGTCCCCTTTACAACCTAAAACAACAACAACAACAAAAATTAAACTTAGGGTTAAGAATTTTCGTTTGGTCTTCAGGGGGCAATTCACTTTGCAGGAACGGGAACCCGGCGGGAGGAAAACTATCTCTCTCACACACACACACAACCCTGCCATCCAAGCAAGATTCCGTTAGACACAAAACGCCACTCTCCACCTCCTCCTCCATCCCGAACACTGACAGGCGAGGAGCGCGGGGGCGACCCGGCAGAGGCGCGGAGGCGGGCCGCCGCCACACGCGCGCCGCACCGCGGACCGCACCGACCCCGCTCCCTCCAGCCGCCGCCCTCGGCCCGCCCCGCCCCGCCCCGGCGCGGCCCCGCAGACCCCAGCGCCCCGGCGCGCTCGGCTCGGGAGGGACGCGGCGCACCTGGATGTAGTTGTTCTCGCAGTAGTCGGCCACCCGCTCCAGATTCGTGTAGCTATCGAACAGGGCCCGGCGGCCCCCCGGGATTTCCTCTTCCAGCAGCATCTGCAGCTCCGCCATCTTCACATCCTCCGCCTCCTCCTCCTCCTCCTCCTCCTCATACAGTCCGCAGAGGCAGCGGCCGCGACGCCCGGGAGAGGAGGAGCAGCGGCGACCGCGGCGGGAACCGGGAGGAGCGCGCGCGGCCCGCGGAGGGGGGGGGGGACGGCGGGGACGGGGGCGGGGGCGGGGCGCGAGCCGACAGGCCGCGAGGACGGTCACCGCGGCGACCGGCGGACGAGCGAGCGAGCGAGCGCGCGCGCGCTCCCCGCCCTCCGCCCCCGGGCACCCGAAAAAGATTCCCACCCGCGCCGCCCCTCCCCCACTTCCGGCGTCTCCTAGCGACGGGAGGCGGGGGCCAGGATGCGCGAGCCGGACTCCCGGGTTAACCCTTCCGCCCCGCGCGGGTTTCCCGGCTCTGGGAGTCCCTCGGCAGCCTTTTGTTAGCCGGGCTGGAATGCGCCGCCTCCGCCGCCGCCGCCGCCCGCACCCCTCACCTCCGCGCTGCACCCCAGACCGAGTCCCTCGGGAGGTCATCGCCTGAGGAAGCTCTCCGGGCCCCTCTGGAGGCCTAGGGAGGACGGTGTCTTCACACCCTCTCTGTGAGAGCTCGCACCACATCACAGCAGCCCAGAGGACTGAACTTTCAGGTAGCTCTAAATGCCACCTTGGACGTCATCCTCTTTTTTTTTTACAAAGAAAATTACAGTTACCTAATCCCAAATCTATTCTTCATTCATTCATTCATTCTTTTGTATTCCCTGCCTCCCCTTCTCTGTTTTTTCTGCAACGTCTTCTTGATGTAGACCAGGCTGACTGAAATTACAAGCATATGCTGTGGTTACCCAGCGTGGGTCCCCTCCTCTCTTGACTTTCTTCAAATTTTCGACCGTGGTTTTGATGGTAATAATTTCATTATTCACGTGGTTGTGGTATAAATAAAATTAAATAAATGCACATTGAAAAACGTGAAGTACTATAAAAATTCAAGGTTGCCCATTCTGATCTTGCTTATAATCCAGATGTCTTCATAAGACAGGTGTTTAAAGTAGTTATAGACCCAGCTGGACCACATCAACATTTAAACATCCTGCTTTGGGCTCTGGAACAAAAACTCATACATATTGGAAAAGTATTTATCAAAAGCTTATAAATAACAAAAGGGAGAGCTGGGGTTCGTAGCTCAGTGGCATGGCTTGTAAGACTCGTAACAGGGAAAAAGAGAAACTGAAATGTGTAAGGGACACTTATGTAGATGCCACATATGCTCCCTTCAGGAAACGGGGTTCATACAATAGATAATGAAAACAAACATCGACTCAGACTTGTATACAAACTTCAAAAGATCAAAAATCTGTGTTGAGTCTGGAGAGATGGCTTAGCAGTCAGAGCACATAACTGTCTCCAGATAACCAGTTTGGTTCCCAACAGCCATGCCGTGCTGCTCACAGTCACCTGTACCTCTAGCTACAGGAGCTCCAACACCCTGCACAGGCAATGTGACATACACTCACATAGAAACACACACGCGAATAAAAATAATTTTAAAGTATTTGTTAACGTGAAAACCATAACTCTCATCTTAAAGGGAATAAGAAATGGTTGGTTTATTCTGGAGCCATTTTGAGTGACCCAGGGCCAAGGAATGCAGTCTTAGGTTACCCAAATACCATCTTCCAAAATAGAAGCATGTTTTTATAGTTTTACAGAATAAAAGTCATAAATCAAGGGGCTAGCAAGATGGCTCATAGGTTAAAAGAATTGGCTGTTCTTCCAGAGGCCACAGGTTCGAACCCCAGCACCTACATGGCTCACAACTGTCTGTAACTCTAGTTCCAGGGGTCCCAACTCCCTCACATAGGCATGCGCACAGGCCAAACACCAAATGCACATTAAAAATAAATGATAAGTCAAAGCAAGTTTAAAATATGTTGGTGGGTACATCAAAGAGGCCGGTATATCAAGATTGGGGAAGGCTTTCTCTAAGCTCAGGGTGCTATCTGATGGCATTCTTAGCTTTTGGGTTGGTTGAAGCTAATTGCCTGTTAAGTTAATAAATACTAAAAGTTTTCTTTATTTTTATCTATTGTCACAACAGATATTGATTCCAACACAAGAGGGGGTGTTGCAAGGAATGGCATCTTTGGAGAGCCAGAATTTAGCCCAACATGAGAGAATTAGCCTTTGGACCTGCAATATTCCAGTCTCCTCAGTACTGAAATTCTAATCAGTCTCTCTAGACACAGAACCCTTTTAGTTTTCCTGCACCACCAGATGTGGCTTCTTTTTAAAATTTCTCCTTCACAAAGTCTACCATCCTTCACCACCATACTTTTTCTCCACCTAGCATTCTTTCAGATACAGGTTTCCTGGGAGAGGATTCATCAAATAACCAAGGAAAAAATTGTAGTGCTTTCTCTAATTTGTGACAGCTTCTTTGGTTCTTTGATTCCTTATCTAAAAGGAATCAGAACTAGGATTGTAGCTCAGTGATCAGCACTGACTATCAAGGATGCACTCAGAAGCCTGAGGGCACAAGGATGTAGCAAAATTGATTAAATAAAAAAAAGACAGGACAACCTATAAAAGACTCCAGAGTTATTAGGGTCTAGAACTAGATTGTGTATGTTTTGAAAATTCCCATCAATTGCCCATACTTGTTTAAGTTGAAGGATGCAATTGAAATTACTCATTTTTAAAGTTTTTTAGATAAATTGTTATGGAAAGACAGAAATTTAAACTGTCAAAAAGTAACAAAATTGCCCGGGCTATAGTGGCACATATCTTTATTTCCAGCACTCAAGAGGCAGACTTATCTCTGAGTTTGAGGCCAACGTGGTCTACAGAGCAAGTTCAGAACAGCCAGGACTGTTACACAGAGAAACTCTGTCAGGAAAAAAAAAAAGTAGCAAAATATTAGTACTTATTTCATGTGAACTTTGTATGAATAAAAACAAACAAACCTCTAGAGCAAAAAGACACATTTCAAGAACTCTTAAGAAAATGATTTTAAGTATGCATTTCTAGTGTGCCGTTTTATAAGGATATCTTATAACAATATTTTGTAACTGTATTCATTAGCTCCTTTTGTAGCTTACCTTTTTCACAGCTTGGGTCTATCTGATGTTAGCAATAGAACTCAGGGCTGTACACATGGCCAGTAGGCACTTCTCTGTTGAAATATGAAGCGGCGGGGCTGCGTCCCCAACACCCCAGCCGCTTGGCTAGCTCACGCCCGAAATAACAACACACAAACTGTATTCATTTAAAGAACTGCTTGGCCCATGAACTCTAACCCTTACAGGCTAATTCTCGCCCCTGGACTAGCCCATTTCTAATAATGTTTGTAAGCACGCCAAGGTGCGCTTACCGGGAAGATTCTAGCCTAAGTCCATC